CCGTTATTTAACAAAAGAAATGTTGCCACCTTCCTGAAATAAAATAAGTTTAAACTGAAGTACTAAAATTACTAAAATTACTGAAGTAAAAATAAAGCTAAATAGAAAAAAAACACAAAACTACAAAAATAACAAAACAAACAAAAATAAACTAAAATGAAAACTGAAAATATAAAATAAAAGGCAATTCAAAATGGTAATAAATACAAAAAGGATATGTAAATATTACTAAAATAGCACTACTTTATTAAACTGCTGAATAGAAGCTAAAAACGCTGTTGAATACCTGTGACTGAGTAAGTGTGACTGTGAATTGTTTGGCAATCATTTTGATTTCAGTTAGAACTTGTCAGATGTTAACATATGAAGGAGATGATGGCAGAGATTTATAGACATTCATGAAAGTCACAATGTGACAAATATAAAACCTGCACTTGACAATCTCTAATGGCTGGAGAGCCATGACTCTGAAGATGGTGCTACCATGACCTACAAACCCTGAGCTAACCCAGATAACACAAATCAGGCCCTTTCCCCATGTGACTGCTCAGGACATCTCTGCTAGCAGCTATGCCTACTAGGCCCAACAAACTGACAAGAACAGTTTCACATCAATTAGAGCCAGACATTGTCAAAGCAGAACTGAACAACTATCCCATTACGATAACATTAGCTATGTCTCCTACACATACACAAGATGCTAAATGCATGGAAGAGCTCCCGATAATGGACACAAACATCTGCATGTAAGGCTGGAGAATCAAAACATTCATATTTAATAACGATTCATGATTCAATGTGGTTTAACTTTTAGAATTAATTTGTTTGTGGTATGTTGTTCAGTGTGCGTCTGATGATTAGGTGGCAAGTGAACATCTGAAACATGGAATGCGGAGCAGATAAACAAGACCAACCCTTTTTCTGAGAAAACCTGGATGGTACGAGTGTGGGAGAGTACAAGCCGACTTCCTCTGAATAATGAAAAGTGCCCATTAAGTTTGAGCTGGGAGTCATCCTGAAAGTATGTCACTGAACAAGTCTGTACAGGGGTGGTGAAAACACCTCGGCCTCCTAAGGGAAGACTGGCTGTTTACATAATGCAACGTCCTGCCCCAGGCCTTCCAGCTCCTTTCCTCATTCACAAAAGCTAAGCTGCCACTCTCAGCTCTAGTAGGCTTTAAAAATATGACAGCTACACCCATTAATACGGGTGGCAGGGAGATTCAGCTGTCATAACACACTTAAGGTAACAGTTCAGCCAAAAATAACACATAAAATGGTTCACCCAAAAATGACATTTCTGTCATCATTTACTGACCCTCACATCGTTCCCAACCTGTATGACTTAAGGTGTGGTCAAATTAGTTAAATTTCAGCAAATTTTGCGGCAAAACCTCTGCCGTCTATTGTCAGTAGTGTTGCGATGTATAAAACAGCTCACGCGAAATTAAATTTTAAACTAAGCAGCTTTCTGTTTGTAATGTCTATGTCTCACAGAAGAAAGTACATCATTCATATAGGTTTGGAAAGACATGAGGGTGACAATTTTCATTTTTGTGTAAACTATGCCTTTAAGACCTTTAAGTTATTGCAGCTGGTAAAGGTATGGCTGTCAAAACAACTTGCATACACAAAACTGGTCAAATGGTATTTGTGTGTTTCTGTTTTTGTGTTGCACAAAGATATTCATGTTTGGAAAAAACATCAGGGTGAGTAAATAAATATGATGTTGAGATATATTTGCTAATACATTCAGCTATCTAAATAACATGAATGATTCATCAGAAATATGCTAATCAAATGAGGAGCAAAACTAGAAAGACTATCTCCTCACAGCACACTTAAAGAGATAGTTCATCCAAAATGGAACATTATGTCATCATTTGCTCACCCTCATACTATTCCAAACCTGTATGACTTTCTTATATGAAAAATAAATGATGTTAGTCAGAATGTTAGCAACTCGCAGTCTCGGTCTCCATTCACTTCCATTGCATCTTTTTCCTTACAATGAACGTGAATGGTGACTGTCGCTGTCATTCTTCCTAGCATCTCATTTTTGTGAGGACTATTCAGTCAACGCACGGCTTCATTTACTTTTTATTGTTTTAAAACAACGGATATAGTGTGTCATAAAAAATACTGTACATTACAGCGGGGTGTGAAAGTGAGCGCTAGTAGGATGGATCAATAAAAGAAGCGACCCATACGGACGCCATATTGACCAAAACAAAATGGCAGAACAAGAGAATAGTTGACAAAGTCTGCAGGCTTTCGTTGACAGATGTCTTCTCGTGACACGATAAATCCGCAACAACGACTATTAGATCTGCTCCGGTGCTCGCGGGTAAGATAATCTGACTCGATCGTACCGAGTGTGGCGTAATATCGTTAATACAGCGATGTCATGTTATCTTAGCTTAGCTCAGCCCATCCACACTTACGAGCGAGGGAGCGACGCGACGCACTAGATCGCTGTATTAAAATATAAGCATACTAAATGTCATGTCACGCATACTTGGAGTGCAGACAGATTCGTTTACTATAATGGAAGGGTTTAAGTTTAGCATAAATGGGGCGGACAGGAAGCTAACGAGATCTGTAGTAAATTGCTTAGTAAATCAACGTAATGTCTTCAATTAAAGCAGCCGATCTGATGGCGATCAATGTCTCGATTTGGGGTTTCTAACTAGTGTGTCAGCAAACCCACGGGTCTGTACCTGGAGTTCGGCCCTCTCCACTTCCCAATGCGCCCTTTCCATCTCGAAACGGGCCCATTCGTGCTGGATGTAGTGTAAAATCCCCGGGATAGTGTACTGCTGGGGCCTGGGCATCTCGTCTTGCTGTTGCTGAACCATATGCGCTCCTCCAGCGCTGGCGATCTGGGGATTAATGCTGCTGTTGCCCTGCTGCGGTGCGGGCTGCTGCTGTCTCTGGGCGGCCATTCCTCCTCCTCCTCCTCCTCCTCCTCCTCCTCCAAAATGCATTGAAAATGCTTAGAGGTGTAGTCTGTCGGATCCTCTTTAGCATATAAGTTTCTTCAGCTATGGGTACTTGAGACCAAATGGGCTTTCCTAAACTCTCTTAAAATAATCTTTTCAAACTCTAGATTATTTAACAATGTCCACGTATGGACATACAGGTGCATCTCAATAAATTAGAATGTTGTGGAAAAGTTCATTTATTTCAGTAATTCAACTCAAATTGTGAAACTCGTGTATTAAATAAATTCAATGCACACAGACTGATGTAGTTTAAGTCTTTGGTTCTTTTAATTGTGATGATTTTGGCTCACATTTAACAAAAACCCACCAATTCACTATCTCAACAAATTAGAATACTTCATAAGACCAATAAAAAAAAACATTTTTAGTGAATTGTTGGCCTTCTGGAAAGTACGTTCATTTACTGTACATGTACTCAATAACTTGGTAGGGTCTCCTTCTGCTTTAATTACTGCCTCAATTCGGCGTGACATGGAGGTGATCAGTTTGTGGCACTGCTGAGGTGGAATGGAAGCCCAGGTTTCTTTGACAGTGGCCTTCAGCTCATCTGCATTTTTTGGTCTCTTGTTTCTCATTTTCCTCTTGACAATACCCCATAGATTATCTATGGGGTTCAGGTCTGGTGAGTTTGCTGGCCAGTCAAGCACACCAACACCATGGTCATTTAACCAACATTTGGTGCTTTTGGCAGTGTGGGCAGATGCCAAATCCTGCTGGAAAATGAAATCAACATCTTCAAAAAGCTGGTCAGCAGAAAGAAGCATGAAGTGCTCCAAAATTTCTTGGTAAACGGGTGCAGTGACGTTGGTTTTCAAAAAACACAATGGACCAACACCAGCAGATGACATTGCACCCCAAATCATCACAGACTGTGGAAACTTAACACTGGACTTCAAGCAACTTGGGCTATGAGCTTCTCCACCCTTCCTCCAGACTCTAGGACCTTGGTTTCCAAATGAAATACAAAACTTGCTCTCATCTGAAAAAAGGACTTTGGACCACTGGGCAACAGTCCAGTTCTTCTTCTCCTTAGCCCAGGTAAGACGCCTCTGACGTTGTCTGTGGTTCAGGAGTGGCTTAACAAGAGGAATACGACAACTGTAGCCAAATTCCTTGACACGTCTGTGTGTGGTGGCTCTTGATGCCTTGACCCCAGCCTCAGTCCATTCCTTGTGAAGTTCACTCAAATTCTTGAATCGATTTTGCTTGACAATCCTCATAAGGCTGCGGTTCTCTCGGTTGGTTGTGCATCTTTTTCTTCCACACCTTTTCCTTCCACTCAACTTTCTGTTAACATGCTTGGATACAGCACTCTGTGAACAGCCAGCTTCTTTGGCAATGAATGTTTGTGGCTTACCCTCCTTGTGAAGGGTGTCAATGATTGTCTTCTGGACAACTGTCAGATCAGCAGTCTTCCCCATGATTGTGTAGCCTAGTGAACCAAACTGAGAGACCATTTTGAAGGCTCAGGAAACCTCTGCAGGTGTTTTGAGTTGATTAGCTAATTGGCATGTCACCATATTCTAATTAGTTGAGATAGTGAATTGGTGGGTTTTTGTTAAATGTGAACCAAAATCATCACAATTAAAAGAACCAAAGACTTAAACTACTTCAATCTGTGTGCATTGAATTTATTTAATACACAAGTTTCACAATTTGAGTTGAATTACTGAAATAAATGAACTTTTCCACGACATTCTAATTTATTGAGATGCACCTATAAGACCGTAATTAGCTACAAAATGCCACAGAATCGTTTCTGAAGACAGTTAGAACCTTCAGAGGTACATTCATATAATTAATTCAATCATATATTCGTTTGTATAATTCCCTTAGCACTCTTTTAAAACCTCCCAGCTTTTCCGCCCTGTTTTCACTCAAAACGAAACTACTCTGCTGCTGTGCGCACCTGAGACTGTTACTTAAAACTGTGCTTTATGCTGGACAGTAGTTATTTATCAAGATTTGTTCAAATCGCGGAAATCTAATACGGTTTTAATGATAATTAAAATATGAAACGTAATACTAACCGTCGGGAATTTTATCATGATTTATCGTCAAACCGGTAATCGTTACATCCCTAATTCCAGTGCTGTTATTGCTAACTAAAACTGAAAGTACAACTATTAAAAATATTTTTGTTCATTCCAATAAGGAAATAAAAATAAAATATAAATATTACATGGAAACCGTTATTTAAAAACTTCAACAAAAGAAATGTTGCCACCTACCTGAAATAAAATAAGTTTAAACTGAAGTACTAAAATTACAACTAAAACTGAAGTAAAAATAAAGCTAAATAGAAAAAAAACACAAAACTACAAAAATAACAAAACAAACAAAAATAAACTAAAATGAAAACTGAAAATATAAAATAAAAGGCAATTCAAAATGGTAATAAATACAAAAAGGATATGTAAATATTACTAAAATAGCACTACTTTATTAAACTGCTGAATAGAAGCTAAAAACGCTGTTGAATACCTGTGACTGAGTAAGTGTGACTGTGAATTGTTTGGCAATCATTTTGATTTCAGTTAGAACTTGTCAGATGTTAACATATGAAGGAGATGATGGCAGAGATTTATAGACATTCATGAAAGTTACAATGTGACAAATATAAAACCTGCACTTGACAATCTCTAATGGCTGGAGAGCCATGACTCTGAAGATGGTGCTACCATGACCTACAAACCCTGAGCTAACCCAGATAACACAAATCAGGCCCTTTCCCCATGTGACTGCTAAGGACATCTCTGCTAGCAGCTATGCCTACTAGGCCCAACAAACTGACAAGAACAGTTTCACATCAATTAGAGCCAGACATTGTCAAAGCAGAACTGAACAACTATCCCATTACGATAACATTAGCTATGTCTCCTACACATACACAAGATGCTAAATGCATGGAAGAGCTCCCGATAATGGACACAAACATCTGCATGTAAGGCTGGAGAATCAAAACATTCATATTTAATAACGATTCATGATTCAATGTGGTTTAACTTTTAGAATTAATTTGTTTGTGGTATGTTGTTCAGTGTGCATCTGATGATTAGGTGGCAAGTGAACATCTGAAACATGGAATGCGGAGCAGATAAACAAGACCAACCCTTTTTCTGAGAAAACCTGGATGGTACGAGTGTGGGAGAGTACAAGCCGACTTCCTCTGAATAATGAAAAGTGCCCATTAAGTTTGAGCTGGGAGTCATCCTGAAAGTATGTCACTGAACAAGTCTGTACAGGGGTGGTGAAAACACCTCGGCCTCCTAAGGGAAGACTGGCTGTTTACATAATGCAACGTCCTGCCCCAGGCCTTCCAGCTCCTTTCCTCATTCACAAAAGCTAAGCTGCCACTCTCAGCTCTAGTAGGCTTTAAAAATATGACAGCTACACCCATTAATACAGGTAACATAAAACTTCAAGTAATAGTTTACCCAAAAACAGTAGTGTTGCAATGTATAAAACACAGCTCACACAAAATAAAAATGTAAACTAAGCAGCTGTCTGTTTGTCATGTGGAGATATTTTTCGAAATTTCTTCTTTTATGTCCCACAGAAGTACGTATGTCGGTCATACAGGTTTGGAAACACATGAGGATGACAATTTTCATCTTTGAGTACACTATTCCTTAAAGAACAAGTTATTGCAGCTGTTAAAAGGTATGGCTGTCAAAACAACCTGGATACACAAAACTGGTCAAATGGTTTTTGTGTCGCACATAAAGTCAGTCATACTGGTTTGGTAAAGACATCAGGGTGAATAAATAAATATGATGGTGAAATATATTTGCTGATACATTCAGCTATTTAAATAAGGTGAATGATTAATCAGAAACATGCTAATCAGAAGGGGAACAAAACTAGCGAGACTATCTACTCACAACACTCTTGAAGGGATATTTCACCCAAAACTGAACATTAAGTCATCACTTACTCGCCCTCATGCTGTTCCCAGCCTGTATAACTTTCTTATGTGAAGTATAAATTAAGATGTTGGTCAAAATGTTAGCAACTCGCAGTCTCGGTCTCCATTCATTTGCATTGCATCTCTTCCCACAGAATGAACGTGAATGGTGACTGTCGCTGTCATTCTGCCTAACATCTTTTTCCAGTGAACTCTCAGGTTAACGTTAATCAGAAAGAAACGGCTTCGTTTACTTTTTATCGCTTTAAAAGAACGGATATAGTGCGTCACAAAAACACTGTACATTTACAGTGGGGTGTGAAAGTGAGCGCTAGTAGGAAGGATCAATAAAAGAAGCGACCCATACGGACGCCATATTGACCAAAACAAAATGGCAGAAAAAGAGAATAGTTGACAAAGTCTGCTGGCTTTCATTGACAGATGCCTTCTCGTGACACGATTAATCCGCAACAACGACAATTAGATCTGCTCCTGTGCTCGAGGGTAAGACAATCTGACTCGATCGTACCGAGTGTCGCGTAATATCGTTAATACAGCGATGTCATATTAGCTTAGCTTAACTCAGCTCAGCCCATCCACAACTACGAGCGACGCAACGCACTAGATCGCGGTTTTAAAATGTAAGCATTACTAAATGTCATGCCACGCATACTTGGAGTGCAGACAGATTCGTTTATTATAATGAAAGGGTGTAAGTTTAGCATAAATGGGGCGGACAGGAAGCTCGCGAGATCTGTAGTAAATTGCTTAGTAAATCAACGTTAAGTCTTCAATTAAAGCAGCCGATCTGATGGCGATCAATGTCCCGACTTGGGGTTTCTAACTAGTGTGTCAGCAAATCCACGGGTCTGTACCTGGAGCTCGGCCCTCTCCACTTCCCAGTGCGCCCTTTCCATCTCGAAACGGGCCCATTCGTGCTGGATGTAGTGTAAAATCCCCGGGATAGTGTACTGCTGGGGCCTGGGCATCTCGTCTTGCTGTTGCTGAACCATAGGCGCTCCTCCAGAGCAGGCGATCTGGGGATTAATGCTGTTGTTGCCCTGCTGCGGTGCGGGCTGCTGCTGCTGTCTCTGGGCGGCCATTCCTTCTCCTCCTCCGCCGGGCTGTTCATCCATGTTTAAAAATAGGAAAGTCCTGCTAGAAGTCGCCGATTGTTTCCCCTCAGCCCTCCCTTCTTTACCGTTCGTGTAGCGATGCGACGTCGCCCTGCCCCCCCACGAAATAGGCTGGCACCCGAGCGGCTGTTGTGGATTTTGTGTCAGCGCACGGATTTGCCGGCCGCCATTAGTCCAATCCCTGGATGTGAGTCTCCTACTGCGGGGGTGTGTGAGTGAGGGAGGACTGGCGCGCGCGCTGCATGATGGGACGCGTTCACCCAACCCTGCGCTGTCTCGAGTCATCCGAATACAGACTGACGGGCGGACACTGCGCAGGCGCTGTACAATGATGACCAGATCAATGACGAGCTCTGTACCTGACGATATTAAAATATGGCTTTGCAAATTAGATATACATATATAACGTAGTGCGGACGTAAATAAAATATAAAATAGCTTCAACTGATATAATGAGATTTTCTTCTTTTCTTTTCATAATTTAAAGGTGTGCTCTGTTTTGTTTATTTCAAATATTTTTTCCTACAAAAATTAACAGCACGTTTGAAAAAAATATTCCAATGATGTACACAAAGGTGAAAAAAAAATCTACCGTTAACAATTTTACAGTGGTAACAATAATTGTGGTAACTGATATTTTGGTGAAAACTATTGGTTATAAAGAAATGTATGTATTTCATTTATCAGTTTACAAATAACAACTGTGATCATTTTATTTACTATTGGCGTAATTTCTATTTTTTTATATATAAAAATGTGGCATTGACAATAGCGATATATATAGTAGGGCAGATAAAAAAAAAATTCCCCCTTTTCTTTTCATAATTTAAAGGTACACTTGTCTTTTGCTCATTTCAAATATTTCAAACTCTTTAAAAATAAAAAATAATTAAAGTATTTAACAACCACTGTGAGAAATATTCAAATGAAAATGAAAACATGGAGCAGGTCGCCCCCTCATGGACGCTGCCATGTTGACGTCACATGACCAGCTCTGTCAAAAAATTCACTTAGCAGTAATAATTTTACTGTAGTAAGAATAATGGTGGTAACTGTGATATTTTGGTGAAAATTATTATTTACCAAAAATAATGTTATTAATCAGTTTACAAATAAGTGCGCTATTTTTTTTTTTTACCCTTCCAGTTGTTTGCTGACATAATGACGTAATTTCTCCTTCTTTCTAGCGGTGGCCACTCTTCTGAATTACTATGATCAAGTTCCTACTTATGGTCAACAAACAGGGGCAGACTCGCCTATCCAAGTATTATGAACAAGTGGAGCTTGGGAAGAGAGCAGCTCTTGAAGCTGACGTGGTCAGGGGATGCCTCGCTCGGAGGAAGGAAGAGGTCAGTCACGTTTCACATTTACTTTCAAATGAATGGTTAACCACACTACTTGTATCACTAGCCATTGTTTACCGTGCAAAATATTATGACTATAGACAACTAAACAGACATGCAAATATTACTGACCCTCAGGGGAGATATATTGATAAACAACAGAAACATCAAGCAGTGTACACATTATGCAAGCATTACTGTACGAGACATCTATGTATATCTACACATATAATTGACACATACAAGTAACTCCCACCTTGTAGACTTCAAGTCTGTGGTTGAGTTTTATTTAAAAATGTTAAAATCTTCAAACTTGACCGTTCAGAATTAAAATCTGCTGCTGAACTCCAGATGAATGTCTTTTTTTTTTCTATTTCTTCCTCAGTGTTCATTTGTGGAGTATAAGGACTACAAACTGGTCTATCGACAGTACGCAGCACTTTTTGTTGTTGTTGGCATCACTGAAAATGAGGTTAGCTATATTACTGGGGAAATGTTCTAATTACTGGCATAATCATTGGGAATCAGTATTTTTTCCGAGTAGTTTTTGAAATCTGATTTATGGTCTCTGCCCTCTTTCACACAGAATGAACTCTCAATCTATGAACTTGTGCACAACTTCGTCGAGGTGTTAGACAAGTATTTCAGTCGTGTGGTGAGTACTGATTCCTTTTGATTAAGGAATATTACAACTTTCTGAGTAAAGACATAAATTAAATGTTTTATGCTCACTTACAATTGATTTATCAGTTTTCCTTTTTTTTTTCTTTCAGAGTGAGTTGGATGTATCCTTTTGTAAGTGAAATTACACATTAAGTATTATTGACCAATCTTGGCTATGATTATTTCTTCAGTGATACACGTGTATTTATAGGAGGGTTTCATTCCTTAATGCACAATCAGATCATGTTCAATTTAGATAAAGTGCACATTATACTTGATGAAATGATCCTGAATGGACACATTGTGGAGACAAACAAGAACCGGATACTGGCACCACTACTGGCCCTGGACAAGATGGCTGAAAGCTGATCCAATGTTATAAATAAAGGGTTCTCACTACTCTAAACTTAGGGTTCGTCTTCCATAAAATTGTTTATAACATTTTTTTGATGTGATCTGTAATAATCCCAATGCGATGTCTAAATGTTCCTCTTAAAAAAAAGTAACTACAGACAACAGAACTAAAGACAACAAAATGTGAATCATATTCAGGAACAGAAATATTTGTCAGTTCATCATCAGCAGGAAAAAAGCAAACAAGACAGTGTTGATACTTTGCAAACATTTTAATGATTATTTTTGGAGCATACACATTTGAAAATATTTGTTTAATTCAAACTGCAACTTGAGTTAAATAAATGTTTATAATATACAAAGAAAATACAAGGGAAAGCACAGCTTGCTTTTTGCTTTGTCTTTTTTCTTTTCTTTAAATGTGCCTTGCACACAGAACCAGTGTTTCTGTATCTATAGCTTTATTGTAAAATTACACAAATGCACTCAGGGACTTTGATCCTTTAGCAGGGCAATGAACAGTTGAAAACATACTCACACAGTAACGGAAGCAAAAAAGGGAAAGCATGTGCATGATTGTATGCAGACAGATTAAGTAAAACAAAAGAAAGAAAAAAATCCTAATATTTCAACAATGCAGGCACTAGTAAAACTTAAAACCTGTTAAGGAAATGCCCAAACACGCTATAGTTAGCTCTACAGAAGCAGGTGTGCTTGTGTCCAGGGTCTGACGCTGCAGATGGTGATATCTGGGTCTGAAAAAGATGATCTATGACAAAATGTACAATGAACCTGGAGTAATGACAGTAAACACAGTAGGTGAGGAGAGACTACCCTGGCTGCCAGCGGCTCAAGCCCTTAAAGCGGTAGAGTGACCTGGGAAAGGCCTTGTGAAGCCGTCAGTGGAGGAGGAGACCCTAATGGGTTTCAGGAGCTAGTGGAGCTGCGGTGGGACTGTTTTTCCTGTTTATTTGGGTTTTATGTGAGGTGCTTAGGGAAAAAGGATTTCATCAGAGCACAGGTTTATTTTCTGCAACAAAACACGACAGGCTTCACCAGCATGGGTGTTGGGGTCAATGATGTAGGGAGAGCATGCTCAGTTGAGGTGGAAGCCCTTCTCCATAGTGGCAGCAAGGAGGCGCTCTCTCATGATCTCTTCGGAGGAATATTCCGGCAACTTCAAGTAGTGCACACAAGTGTTGACTGAAGGATAGCTGGCATCTGTAGCATCAACCTAGAGGAGAAAAGACCAAAGCAGGTATGAAAAGAGACTCTTAGTTGTTATCTTAATTGGCTGTGTTTTAGCATTATAGATTTTATTAAATTGCATGCTTGCATACCTTCCGGACTATTGTGAGACGTGGATGGAGGTTGGCCAGTCCACCAGGGGGCAGGGTCGAGCAGCCTGTGGTGAATTGGAGGAAGGCTTTCCTCTCATCCGATGACATTCCACACAGCACTCGAACAAAGCGCAAGAAACCAGGACTGCAATACAATTTAATCATCAGCATGATATATACTGTATGAAATGTGGCCAAGCAAGTTATTTAATATATTTGACAATTTTAGAAAGCTGAACATGAAACCTTTATTTCAAAGAGGTTTACATGTAGCATATTATTCAGCCATTATATGTATATGTATTAATACACTACTACTACAATATTGCATTAGCTAATGACTATAGTACCAATATATTTACATGCATGTTATAAATTTCGCTCCATATCTTCAAGTTTTTTTTTTTTTTTTTTTACATAAAAAAAGCAAACAAAAAACAAACAAGAAATATTAAATCACAGACCTACCCAAGAGTATCCCATTATAAAATGGAGAAATAACAGTAGTGTCTACCTGTCCCGCGTGTAGCCAAGTTTAGGTTCTGTGTAGTTAACAATGTCTTCAGCGGTCCAGGATGGAGACTGGTTGCCACACAAGATCATCTGCACCTCTTTATGACTAAATGAGCTGAGCTTCTCCATAGGAAACACCCTGTTAAAGCCCTCTGTAGCAAATCAAATACAGACTGCCATTAGAACAAAAGATCAAACATATTGCATTTTTTGTGTGTATGTGTTTTTTATACATTTCACATTTAGCAACATATTTGTAACTAAAGAATAATGTTGTAAAAAAAAAAGCTCATTCATAATAAATTGATATCTGAAATTTCTCTCTCTTGAACAGCCAAATTACATGTTCTTTAACTGTGTAACTCGAGCGTATTGAAAGTACAGGGCATGAGAGTATTTGAGGCCTGCCAATCCTGTCATACCTCTAAAGGCTTCCATTTGCTTCTGGATTCCTGTGTGCATGCAGAAGTCAAACATGAGCTCTACGTACTCCTCTGCGTTTTCCATGGTGACCATCTGATGAGAGGACAGCAGAATTATTAGCATTCATATCTTATGCCGGACAAAACAGATTTACATGAATATATATATAGATTTTTACATAATGCACAAGTCTTTACTGTCACTTTTGATTAATTTAATGCATCCTTGCTATAAATAAATAAGTAAATAGAAGAAATTATCTTACTGACCCACAACTTTTGAACAGTAGTTTAATTTGATCAAGATGGCAAGAAGCAGAGGTTCTAAGGGTGATAGCACTGCTATACCAATACAGGTATAAATAATGCATTGGCATAACTACAAATACGCAAAATAATCAAAACCACAAAAAATGATTTCAGTTTCATAGAGAGGTAGACTGTTTTGAATGGCTGGATCATCAGGATTTTGTACAACAGTACACACAGGACACTAGATGGCGTGTCAGGACAACATGGGACTTACCTCATCCTCTCCATTGGGCTTCAAGTCTACGGATGAGAAACCGTGTACTTTGGATGACGGACAGAACTGGAAATTTAATCTAATAACAAAAATAAAACATTAGATGAGTAACGTCGGTAAATAAAATACCCTGCAAAAAGCAAGGAAGTAACATGAAACATCTCAAACAAATTTTAGGTTATGCTTTTAAATGTGTCCTTGTTACAGTATAATTACACAATTAAGTACTGAGTAATATTAATTAACATGCATTTACTGTATGGTTAAGGTTTGGTTTAGGTTATTTGCTTGTAATTATGTATAATTACCTGTCATTACAATAGTAAATGTATAACAAGGAGACTGCATAACATATTACAAGGAGACTGTAAATTAATTGTTGCCTAATTTTCTTTGATTAATATACAAAGTGATATTTATCTCTCACCCTAGATCTTCTACACTAAGTGGTGGGCCAGAGCCCATAGGGTTCTTCAGCATGAGATCCTGTAGCCGTGTGTTCTTCTCATCCTCTGACAGACTCTTATTGCCCAGGATCTGCCTGCGCTTCACAGACAGTGCCTTCAGCTCTTTCAGGAACTGTGCTCTGTGAGGATTCACCAGTTCAAAGTCCTCCCAGGTCAAGATGCCATGATACCAAGCTGGTGGCTTGGGCTTGGGTGGGTCAAGGATGAACTCGGACTTGGAGTCTTCATCAAAGCTACCCACTGAGTATGTGTCCTGACCCTCCTCGGTGGAGGCTTCGGACTGGATTTCAGAGAAGTGGCAGTCCGACTCGACACGAGTTTGATAAAGTAGCTTACTCATGTTGCTTTTGATGTCGCCCATACAGAGCAGTTTGAAGAAAGGCTGGGATATGGGCAGGTCCACGAGCCGGTTGTCCTGGATGCATTTGGCCAAAAAGACGCCAAGGAACAGGAAAAGCTTGGTGATACGCTCCAGTTCATCACTGTCCTGAGGGAAGGGAGCAGGGAAAAGGCCGCAGGAACGCTGCACATAATAGCCTGGTGGTTTCAAGCCTCCGCCCAGATCCACCTGATAAAAAAATGGAAAAAGTTAATTAACCCTCTGGGGTCTGAAGGGGTTTTGGGGCCCTGGAAAAGTTTTGACATGCCCTGACATTTGTGCTTTTTTTTTCTCAGTATCTTAAAAACATATGTCTAAAGAAAACAAATGGGTAAAGTCTGATTACACTGTATTCAGTACAAACTGTGCTACAATAATATGTAGGCAACATGAATGTACATGGTTTGTGTTTTTGAGTAGGGCTGGGTATCATTCAAAAATTTTCGATATCGATACCGGTTCCTGAACGATACTTTATTTGACACCAATTTTATGAAATCCATTTTAACAAGATTACATTACCTCAAAATACTTGAATTACACATTACCTCATAAAACATTTTTTTTTTAGTTTGTTGAGGTTTTTACACTCGAAGACTCTCGTGAGCCACTGCACAAAGGAACAAAATGTAACCGACAAATCAGTGCAAATAGTTTTAATAAAGATCAAATAGTTTTCAGTGCTGTGAGGCTCACTGCTGCATATTTAAGATCTTTAAATCACTCAGCAGTTCTTCAAAAAAAAAAAAAAAAAAAAAAAAAATATATATATATTTGGCATGTCCACTTTTTCAGGAGACAGACAAGACCTCTCTTCACTGATGAAGTACCCAGGAATAATGTCCCTAGTGTGTTTTCATTTTACAAAGCATAGCTTAAACAGAATCATCATTTCTATTCATTTAGCTGCTTCCAGTGCTGTCTGCCTGTTTTCTCTTCCGCGATCGCTGTTCTGACTCAAAGGAAGCTCATTCGCTGTTCATATGTCCCTCATATTACACGTTCATAACCCTGTGTCCGATGATGAACATGCATTACACTTCCAGAAAAACATTTATAGGGTTGAAACATGAAGCTAATAAACACGCGATTATGACAGTATATGATTTGAATGTGATTTTCATGAGATTCTGCCTATTTTAATAACAATACAGTGTGTTTACATGAGAAATGCTAAGCAGGTGTAGCAATTAGCTTGATATAAAATGCTACAAATAACAAGTTTCTTCAACATTAAATGGCCAAGACACACATTAGGATGGTAATCGGAAGTTATTGCAAACACTCAATGGTGGTTTAAAGTGAGTTTTGAGTAAAAGCATAGTATACATTTTATGAATTGTCTTGTGTAGCATGATGCTACAGTGTGCATGAATGGTCATGAAACATGTGTTTTCCTTGATGCCTCGCCAGAGCCAATCACTGAATTAGACAAAGCATGGTGTATGCTTATTGGCTCACTGACGATGATGAGATTAACCCCATAAGTATCGAAATTTGGTACAGAGCGACAAGACATTTTTCGATACTCGATGGTATCGAGGCAATTCGGTGTTCAATTCAAACCTGTGCCTAAAAAGTATTGAACTCAATGCCAAGCCCTGTTTTTGAGAAAACAACATTTATACGTGGTTAGTGAAAGAATAACATTTTTAAGTCACTGAAATAAGGCCATAAAACACATACAGAACATTTGTCCACAAGATTGAGAACTGGATGTGGTAGACTCGAGTTTTTGCTATAAAATAATGTGAAAATAATCCTGCCAACTCATTCACAAAAAAACAATATATTGATCTAACTTTTGTAAGACATGTTTTGTGTTAGAAAGGCCGTATGCAAGGGAGTGACAATGGCCATGAATATTTAGTGATTCACACCTGAGAGACAAAGGGCCCACCCCTAATGGCCCATCAGTGTGACTGTGACTGAGAGGCAGGTAAGAAAGA